CTGGCATTGTCCATTCATGATATCTTGAACTATGCCAAATATATTCTGATAGGTTTCATTGGGTTAATTCACAAGTTGATCTAACTCAATTTTTGGGGCCATTTTTATGCCCCTCCTGACCATACCCACCAAAATTGGAGCGGCAGATTACCATTGTCCTACATAGACAGGCACAGAGAACATTACTATATACACACAAATTGGTTAAATTTCCAGCTATGCTGACACCTCTGGGCTCCTGCTCTAAATTCTACCTAAGTCTAGCAAAGACTTAAAATTGTTACCAGGATAGGAAGCTGGCTGGTTTAAACCGTCTAACTGGAATTAGCCTTATGTGTGGCATTGTTATGCTAATGAGCCATATATATATATGTATATATATAGAAAATAATGAAACAACTTCAGTAGTAGACTTTAAGAACACTGATTTATTATAAACTCGGATATTTCTGCCACTCCTGTGGCCTTCATCAGCGAGAATGAGGAAAACATCATGAATCAATATAATATAGGCTGTCTTGTCAAAAAAAGAATAAAGGTGACAGAGAGCAAATGAAAAATACTTATAAAACTGTACAATGATTGGTCTATTTATCTATGCATACTGAGTATCTACAATAATAAAGAACCAAAGGTGTTAATTGTAGAGACTAGTCAAATAAACTATCCATTGTATTGGCCAGCACAACACAGATAAGATGGTTATTTCAGAGAAATGGATCATATAGAGATTGTAACTGAGCCAACTGTTAGGAAGACCTAATAATATAACGTATGCTAGGCCTTTGAATATACCTAGAATAATGAATGAAACAATGCAGTAATATAATAATAATAATAATAATAACAATAATAATAATAATAATAATAATAATAATAGTAATGATAAAAATAATAGTAATAATACTAATAATAATAATAATAATAATAATAATAATAATAATAATAATAATAATAATATAATAATGATAATAATAACAATAATAATAATAATAATAATAGTAATGAGTAAATTCCAAAAAATAAAATATAAAATAGAATAAAATAAAATCGGGTACCTACAGAAACGGATCGAAATGAAAAGTTATGCCTTAAAAAACGAGAACCCACTAAGGATACCAAGATCCTTGTTTAAACCAGATACGTGTGTTTTGTGTCTGATAATGAGTATATATATATATATATGTATATATATATATATAAATTTGATTTGATATATATATATATATATATAAATCAACGTAGCCGTTAACACTGTTAAATCATATATAAATCATCAAAGAAAGGTAAATACAGTGTTCGAATAAAGGACTGAATAAATACATCGTGTAGCATAGCTCTCAACGAATGTAGTCCTGTAAACAAATGAATAAAGAAATTGTGTAATAAAATGCCTCTGGCGGGACTCGAACCTGCGACCTCTCGCTGTCAAGGCAAGTGTCATAACCACTAGACCACGGAGGCTTCATGGTTGAACAGATTCAAATACCACACCAGATACACTCTATTACACACAATAGGTACGGCTAGAAACAAATACGTGCATATAACATAAATCAAGGTAGCCGTTAACACTGTTAAATCATATATAAATCATCAAAGAAAGGTAAATACAGTGTTAGA